CATCCCTCGTTATCACTCTTCCCCTATTTCCCCCCTCCCTCCGCCCCCGCATACATTGGAGGATGATTATCACTATGCCCACCTACGTTTCATTTAACTCATTTTAAACGCCAACGTCGGTTGGCAGATTCAGGTCCAAGGAAGTCCTTCAACCACGCTGGGTCAACTGCTTATCTAGGCCTTTCCTCCAGTCCTTCCAGTATCGACTGGCCACACGTGACTGCGGATTGATAGTAGCTTGCTTCCTCTATATGACGATTCAGCAGAGAAGGTGGCTTGCGCTTAATTTCAAGCAACAATTCGCTTCAACAATGAACTAAGAGTACAGTTCCCTCAAGTCAGGCCTAATTAATCATCATAGAAAAATTTCAGGAGCTGAACATCTACAGAAGAAAATCCAAGCAGCTAATGAGTCTGCGGTAGGTTCCCTCTGGTTAGGTGTAGACAGCTCTCAACCTTCTCACCGACGTATTTAATTGGAAGGCACCAAGCCAAGTAAAACTCATGACCTTTTATGACTTCTGCTCTATTTACAAGCCCAGAGACCCTTTTCTCAATGAGCTTGAATTTCAGGAAATATTCCGCGTTGTTCTACGCATAACGATCGCTTTGCTGATTTTTACAATGGTGTTCACTCTTCTGATGTTCTTGCACTATAAACGAGCAATCAGTATATGGCCAAGTCTCCATCCCTATCATAGAGCTGTACTTACTACTACAGCAGCGTCTGCTGAAGAAAAGGCCACACCTTTGAAGCCAGCCGTAGGTAAACCAGGTGGATCTAGAGGTGGAGGAAAAGAAGATAAAGATGGAAATGATTACAATGGAGGAGAAGACCGCAACGGAGATGAAGAAAAAGACAACGGAGGGGGTGAAGAAGATGACTACTAGGGAAACAAACAGCAAAGATATGAATCCTTATTCACAATACGAGAGTCATAAACGTTGCAAACTGAATGTGATGTGGCTTAATAAAAATGCTTTCGAGCAAGGGCATTTCTGTCTCAGAAAGTAGCGAACCCTCACTGTAACCCACGATTTTGCTTAACTCTTCTCCAGGATACTACACTGGTGTCACTCGTTTTCAATTATCAAAAGTAAACTATAGTCTGAAGAACGTGTGGAAAAATGTCTGTGATGGGCTTCCAGATTTGCCGGGGAAGAAGGCAATGCGCTCAGTTGATATGGGTCGTCTCAAGGGGAGAAGTTATATTGTTCGGGATCTGACGTACTCTTGTCCTTGTATGGGTTATGGTGGTGTTTCACTTGGA